AGGGGAGCGGTGGCACAGAGGATTTATCCTCTGGTTAACATCTGAACTGAACAGAGTTGCTGTCAGTTCTAGCTCGCGCTGGTGTGAGCTACCTGCCTTGTCCCCAGCTCGCCGTCCACCCAGCGGTTCGAAAGCTTCGGCGAGTAGATAAAATGGGCACCACCCCTTAGAGAGGGTGGGCACACTAAACCCCCGTAGGGGAGGTGTTAGCCAGCAAATGGAAAGTCCAGCTCGGAAGCTCCGAAGCCTGGAAAAGACCTCTTCGGCATCAAGAAGCCTGTAATGGGCCAATCCGGCCAGGCGGTGGCAGTGCGGCGCTACGACTCAAAGCAGCCCAGGAAGAACTAACGTCATCAAGCCAAGCCGAAAATGAATGCCGCCCGGAACATGACTGAAGCCTACAGCTGAACAAAATCCCCGTCGGCTGCAAACGTGTGCGATTTAAAGAATGATATGTTGTCCTCCCTTACCCCTATCATTGTTAGTCCCTTGTGAAAACCTGTGTAACTGTAAATCGCTCAGAGCCAGCAGCTCTGCACGATTGAGCGATCAATAAATCGAAAGGTATTATTATTATTATTATTATTACTCTAGGAATTGCCAGAAATCTCTGTGAAAGCACCTGAAAATCATAGAATCATAGAATGTTAAGACTTGGAAGGGACCTTGCAGGTCACCTAGTCCAACCCCCCAGGAGCACAGCCGAAAGACAGCCCTACAACATACCCAGAAGACGGTCGTCCAGCCTCCGCTATTGTAAAAATCTATAGTAAAGTCCTGGCATTATACCCTGCTGAGATCCCACCCCTCCCTGAACCCCTCTGTCCCCAGGCTCCAGGAAGTTCCCAACCCAGAGCTAGCAATCCTAGGCTAGGTTTGCGAGCTCCAGATCGGGTTGCCAGGACCCTTCGAGACGCAGGCGGGGGAATGGGGGGACACTCCGGAAGCCAGAAGTGTCACCCCCGATGCGCGGGGAGCCAGAAGTGTCACCATGCCCACATCACTTCCGGGGGATGTAGGCACGTCGGGGCAACGCTCCTGTTTGGGGGCAAAGTAAAGGTAAAGGTTTCCCCTTGCTCGAAAGCCTGTCGACTCCGACTCCAGGGTTGCGGTGCTCATCTCTGTTTCCAAGCCAAAGAGCCGGCGCTGTCCGAAGACATTTCCGTGGTCATGTGGCCGGCATGACTAGATGCCGAGACGCACGGAACGCTGTTCCCTTTCCCACCGAATCGGTACCTATTTATCTACTCGCAATTTCTTGCTTTCGGACTGCTAGGTTGGCAGGAGCCGGGGCCAGAGACGGGAGGTCACTCCGTCATGCGGCACACTCGGGTCTCGATTGTTCCCTCTAAGCTGTGGAGTCTCGTGTGCAAAACTTCTACTTTGTGAGCAACTGGCATTAAAGCTGTGAGACAGCGATTTGGCTACTGCATCAATTAGTTTGCTCTGGAGCCGTCCTTCCTGAGCTAAGACAAAAATCTGTGAGCTGGAGGCTAAAAAACTGTGAGCTAGCTCACACTAACTCAGCTTAAAGGGAACACTGGTCTCGCACTGCTGAACTACCGACCTTCCTGTCTGCAGTTCAGCGTCTTAACCCCTTGAGCCACCGCAGCCCTTGGGGGCAAAACTCTACGGTAAAATCAACCTCAAGTCATAGAGTTTTGCCCAAAAACTAGAGCGTCGCCTCCATGCCTATGTCACTTCCAGCCTGGGGAGGACAGGGACCTCAGTGGGGCACAACACCACAGAGCCCACCCTCCAAAGCAGCCCTTTTTCCCTAGGGGGACTGATTGCTGTAGTATGGAAATCAGGTGTGATTCCAGGAGGCCTCCAGGCCCCACCTGGAGGGTGGCAACCCCATGGCCCACTGGGTCATGAAGCCCCTTCCGCTCGGTAGCCTATCCAGAGAAAGGGCCTCACCCACTTCTATCTTTGCAGAGACCTGAAGCTGGACAATGTTCTGTTAGACAAGGACGGCCACATCAAGATCGCCGACTTCGGGATGTGCAAAGAGAACATGTTCGGGGATGACAAGACAAGCACCTTCTGCGGGACCCCCGACTATATTGCGCCAGAGGTAGGTAGGCGTCCTCACCCTGTCGCTCATGATGTCTATCAGCAGCAGGGCTATTTTTGGGCAGGAACGCACAGGAACGGAGTTCCGGCTGGCTCCGGAGTTGGCCACGCCCAGCAGGAACTCATTAGCATAATAGACCCCACCCAACAGCAGAAACGCATTAGGATTGGCTGCATTAGGGGTGTGTGGCCTAACATGCAAAGGAGTTCCTGCTACAAAAAAAGCCCTGGGTTTTGACAACAAACAAGGTAAACAGAATAACAAGCAAAAGGTGGGTGTGGCTGGATAGCCACACTTCTGGTAACATGGGGGTGTGTCCTAATGTGCTAATGAGCTGTGCTGTCAGGGGTGTGGCCTAATACGCTAATTAGTTTCTGGTGTTGGGTGTGGCCTATTATGCTAATGAGTTCCTGCTGGGCTTTTTCTACAAAAAGAGCCCTGATCAGCAGCTATGAGCCCCAATTGAGAAAGGGAGAGGATGGCGTGTGGAATAGAGCGAGGCCCAATCAGCCTGCATATGCAAATGATCTTGAAAGGCTGGCCCAATCAGGTAGAAGGTGAGTCATCGGGATCACGGCTAGCCTTTCATAGAGCCGGAATTCTGAGGATTTATGACTCAACTACTAGTTTCTCTGTCTTCTCAAGATGTCTCTTCTACATAGGTGTTCTTATGCTAGCAATCATCCTTAGCCTATTAACCATTTAGCCAATAGAAAGCTGTTATCAGGATAGATCTCTAAACTGCAAGCTGCCAACCACTTTAGAGGACAGTTCTCAGCTGCTGCAAGTTAATCACTTCTGCCAGCCTAAACAACAGTTCTGGTAACAGGCAGTGTTCCCTCTAAGCTGAGTTCGTGTGAGCTAGCTCACAGTTTTTTAGCCTCTGGCTCACACACTTTTGTCTTCGCTCAGGAAGGAGGGCTCCAGAGCAAACTAATTTATGCAGTAGCCAAATTGCTCGCTCACAGCTTTAATGCCAGTAGCTCACAAAGTGGAATTTTTGCTCACAAGACTCCACAGCTTAGAGGGAACATTGGTAACAAGCCAGCAGGCGGCGGTGATGACTTCTGTAGTCAAGAAAGCCAACATTTAGGCAGAAAAACCGTCTTAAAGGAGACCAGTTTCTTGACACAGAGTTAGAAGGGATCCTAAAGGTCACCTACTCCAACCCCCTTGCTCAATGCAGGAATCAGTCAACTGCAGCACCCCACTCTGCTTAAAGGAGCATACTCCTTTTTTTAAAAAAAGCATTTAAAAGTGATTGAAAAAAGCATTTACAGGAAAAAGTCTTGTGGGGTTATGCCTTTAAGAAAGGGGGCAGAGCCCCCCAAAGCCCCACCATGACTACAGGCCTGACACCAGAAAACACACTGGGTGGACACTATAGCACCCTCTGGGCACCACGTTGGGGATCGCTGCAAGAGACATTACTAGCCGCTCAATGTAAAGCAGCTTCATGCCTTCAGGTCTTCCTTCTCCAATCTCCGACTTCCTTCAATGACAGATCCTCCTGGGACAGAAATACAACGTGTCTGTAGACTGGTGGTCCTTCGGCGTCCTCTTATATGAAATGTTGATTGGCCAGTCTCCATTCCACGGCCAGGACGAAGAGGAGCTCTTCCAGTCGATCCGCATGGACAACCCCTTCTACCCACGCTGGCTCGACACAAACGCGAGAGACCTTTTAGTGAAGGTGAGAAGTGGGGTCGCCAGGTCCCCCACCGGCCACCAGCGGGAACGTGGAGGGATAGGTGTGCCCCCTCTGGGTGGGGAAACTCCTGGAGATTTGGGGGATGGAGCCTGGGGAGGACAGGGACCTCAGTGCGGTACGATGCCACAGAGTCCACCCTCCTAAGCAGCCATTTTCTCCAGGGATCTATGTCGTCTGGAGAAGAGGTGTAATTCCAGGGGATCCTCAGGTCCCATCTGGAGGCTGAGGAATACCAAAAACAACATCTGTGACAAAAATTACGAAGAGAAGATCCGGGCCCTGCGGGACCTTATACAGTTCCGCAGGGCCTGTGAGACGGAGCTCTTCCACCAGGCTTTTGAGTAGGAGCTGCCGCCGCCACTATTCCACCACTGAGATACCATCTTAT